GAGGGTTCAGCCTCCTGATGAGTCGGTGAAACTCCGACGAAACAGTTTGTCACAGCCCCTCGTTTGTTGTCCTCTTCTCCCTCTCTGCCTACGGTTTACCGGGCAGTTCTATTTGACGATATATATATATATATTGTGACGATATATATAGATGAAACAGTTTATTGCAGCCTAATTAATAATTTAATCATCAATAATACAATTGAGAATTTGAATTGATTTTTCCACCTCTGTTCACATCGGGGACCTCCTCCCACCATCCCGCCACCTCAACAAATGCAAGTCCCTCAACAAATGCAAGTGTCTCTCTCTCGCTGAAAGTCACTGATGAAGTCTCTCTGCAGGTACCAGCTATGGCCGCCCGACCTCCAGCATCAATTCTGGCTATGGAGGTTGGCCCATGCCTTCCTTCTTCTTCTTTTAAACTGTTCAGAACAGATATTACACTTAGGCTGCCCCCTCTTTTTTTCTCCCCCCTCTCTTCTTTTGTTCTCCCATTTGATTCGTCCGGGTGTGTCCCGTCAACACGGAACTGTAACCTTGAAGGACGCAAACATCTGAGGATAACCTCAGATGTTACATCCTTTAAAAAAAAAACAAACGAAAACACACAGTGTCACACACACACACACTTTTTAAACTCCTGTTTCGCAGAGATTATGACTTTCTTTCACCTTCCCTGTTTCTTTTTCTTCCCACTCTCTCTTCTCTCTCTCTCTCTCTCTCTCTCTCTCTCTCTCTCTCTCTCTCTCTCTCTCTCTCTCTCTCTCTCTCTCTCTCTCTCTCTCTCTCTCTCTCTCTGTGTCTCTTCTTGTGTTCCCCCATTCCATTCGTCCAGGTGCGTCCCGTCAACGCAGGAACCGCAACCTTGAAGGATGCAACGTCTGAGGCAATCCGCGACTGGGTGACGAACGTTGAGACAACTCATTACATCTTGGGGTCTGTCTGTGGTCCCCACCCTTATCCGATGATGGTTCGCAACTTTCACGACTGCATTGGCAAGGAGGTTCGGCGACAAGCGCTGGAGAAATGGGGTGGTAAGCCAGATGTCCTTGTTGCATGTGTGGGAGGGGGCTCAAATGCCATGGGCCTATTTAATAACTTCGTCGATGACAAGGAGGTTCGCCTGATTGGAGTTGAAGCTGCAGGTTTTGGACTGGATTCCGGAAAGCATGCGGCTACACTGACGCTAGGCTCGCAAGGAGTCCTTCATGGAGCCATGAGCTATCTTCTCCAGGATGAAGAAGGGCAGATCATCGAGCCGCATTCAATCAGTGCTGGGTATGTACTATGTATGAATGGTTTCTTTTTTTTTTTTTTTTTTTTTTTTTTTTTGGGAGCACTGCTGTCGGTTTTTGCTGAAAAACGGATTTAGCTGTTGTCGCTGGGCTCCCAAGGAGCCATGGCTATCTCCTCCAGGGTGGAGAAGGGGGAAGATCGTTGAGCCAAAGAGTTCAGTCGGTGCTGGGTATGTCTGTTACACAGGGCTGGGCTGAAAGAAAAAAAAATAGGTCCCCATTTTTTGTTGGCGGTCCAGTGCATGAGGAGATGCTCCGGGCTCCGGGCCGCGCAAAAAAAAAAATTGCCAGTTGGCCCGAGGACCTCCCATCCGGAGCAGGATCCTGACGTCGGACACTGGTTGGTCTGGATCCCTGTCCGGTGGTCCGGATTGCTGCTGTGATTTGGAGTCTTTGGACCATTTTGGACATTTCGCTTTCGCTCGTTTTGTGTGTCATGCTTGAGTATGCAGGGAGATAGCGGTTTGGTCGTCAACAAGACGATGGGTGTATCTCATCATTCATCACTCATCTAATAGCTTCATGTGTGACCACTGTCCACGTGTGAACGTGAGTCTGTTTTGTAAAGATGATGCTTTGATGACACAGGGTCTATGGCCTTTGCCAATGTGCTGTACTGCGTGTTCTTGGCGTGCAGTCTGCTGTACTGCGTGTTCTTGGCGTGCAGTCTGTGAATTCCTGAATTCCTTGAGTATGCAGGGGCCATGCTTTCCCCCCCCCACCAAAAAAATAAATAAATAAAGAACCATTTCTCAATGTATGCATGTCATCCTTGCACAGTTGGGAAGGGTCGCATTGAAATGATTTAATGAATTTATTTATGTAAGTTATAGCTTCTTTTTCAGCCACCAGTACTTCTGAGGCACTTTTCTCCGATGCTGGAAACTCGCTGCGCCCCCCAAAAAACCGAACCGGGGGCCAAATCCCACTTACCCAAATGATCGATTTCTGACCGCAGATTTGGAAGATCAACGACCAGAAATCAACGATCAGCGTAAGTGGGACTTGGCCCCAGCGCAAATTTCTTTTGGATGGCGCGGCCATCCATGATGCACCGGTTTTCGGAACCCCCTGAAAGTCGCGGGCGGGGTACTGTATGGGCCAAGTACTGGTGGTTTAATCAGTCAATCTCGCTGATTGGTTGATGCCTTCGGCGACCACATCATCGCAAACACGGCACAGTCGATCTCGCTGATTTATTTATTTATGTTTATTTTCGATCTCGCTGATATAAACCATGACTACCTCTCACATACATTGGCCGCCAGTGAGGCCCCACGATTTTTGGAGGCTGGTATAGCAAAAATGGCCGCTGATGAAATTTATCATCGGCAGATGTCATTGGGCCCAGCCTCCAAAGGCCCCCGAAGAATGCGGTATAGGTTATATTCCCAAATGGGACACCACTGTAAAAGGTAGTCGTGGCGACTTGGGCGGCAGGGGTAGTGGGCCGCTTCTACTCTCTCCTTTCTTTCGGATAAGACTTGTTCTCTGCTTGCCGGTGATAAACAACCAGGCTGTTGTTCTTTTGGAAGAAAAAAAAAAAGGTAGAGGCGGTTCAAGGATCTGTCTAGTGAAATTGAGGTTTGCAGCAACGCTTGGTGCTTTTACTTTTGCTGCTGCTTTTTTTTTTTCCTTCTTTTCCATGCCTCGTCACGGAAAGGAAATCCAAATTTTGCTGCTGCTGTTTTTTTTCTTCCATGCCTCATCACCCGGAAAGAAATCCAAATTAATTAAGAAGTACTCTTCCTCACCAACTCCCCTCCCAACTCCCCCCCCTCACTCCCCCTTTCCCCCCTCCCCCCCCCCCCAACTTCTTCCCTCTCCCCCCCCTTTCCCCCTTCCAAACTGTTTACCAGCTGTGTGGTCGACTGCCCAGGGGCAGGATGGTCTGGAGTCTGGACTACTGTCGTCCGCCGAACATAACGCATATGCGTTGTATTCGAATTTTCAAAAAATTAGAAAATTTGAATAGAACGCACATGCGTTGTATTTGGAAGTAGGGCCTGTTCGAATAGAACACATATGCGTTCTTTCCGAATAGAAAGCACTGTATGCGTTGTATTTGTTTACAACGCGCATGCCTTATGTTTGGGGTTCGACGGTAGCATTCCTGCCCTTAGCCAGGAAGAGAACCACCCAACCGGGTGCGTTGTAAGCAAATAGAACGCATAGGCTGCTTTCTATTCGAATAGAACGGATATGTGTTGTATTCTAACAGCCCTTTCGAATACAATGCCAGGAAGAGAACCACACAATACGGATAATATAACCGAATGCCCGCTAAATCCGTCTTTTCTCCCCAAACGTAACGCACCTGGATAATGAATGTATGGAAACAATCTTTCGGATTCTTTCCAGTCGGATACATATCCATAGCCCTCTCGTTCTGAAGTTGCATCCCAACTGCATCACCACGCATTCATCACGGAAGCAGAGACTGAACTTCGCTTCACATCTGGATGATCTGGCCAATGCCCTTGCAGCCATGCAGCGATCTGCCAACTGGCTCCTGGCCCTAACAAAGCTAAGAGGCTACGTGGGAAACCATTCGCATGGCGCTTTCTATCACTCAGTTTGTGTGACGTAGGTATTGGCGCAGGCTGCTAATACCAACACCATAACTTTGGGTGCGCTATGGATTGTGTATTTGCAGGCTTGATTATCCTGGAGTTGGTCCCGAGCATAGCTTCTTAAAGGATATTGGACGAGCCGAGTACGCGAGTGTGACAGATGCTGAAGCTTTGGAAGGTAAGCGGTGCAAGGTTTGCTCTCGAAGGGATTTGATATCAGATAGGACTTGAACTCTTGATCTGTGTATGAGCTGTTGCATGTGCATGTAGTATGTACCATCCAGCCAACAGGTAGCCCGGAGGCCGACCCCGACACTTGCGCATGCACGCAAGCCGCATGTTTTTTTTTTCGGAGCCCCGAAAGGTTAAGCCCACTCTCTCATGACAGTCCCATCCCCCTTCCATTACTACCCCTTTTTCAAAAAGAAAATAAAAATAAAAATTTCTGAGAGTATGTTCCTCTCCCTCTCTTTTGCGTTTCTCTAACTCCTATCCGCCGGTTTCCATGCTGGACTCGTACTCAACCTCACTTCTCAAACATGCAGTGTGTTTTTGCTGCACACCTGTAGACATCACTGTTGCAGTTTCAGTCCCTTTCCTTAGTTCTCTGAGCAAGAATCTCGCTCTCGGAGTCGTGCGAATCTCTGCTAATACGGCTTCCGGCTCAGCCCTGCTGATTACAGAGAGAGTTGCCATATTGAAAATAAACTTGCTTTGTTGAAGTTTGTTCTGATTTGCAGGTGCATTGTTCGATTCTCTTGTAGGTACTCTTCTTAACATTGTCGTCCTTTTTCGCAAATGATGTTGCCTTTCTAGGATTCTATGCAAATTTGTGAAAAAAAAAGGGACTGTTTCTGAGGTTCAGAGGACTGCCCGAACCTGTCGAATGTAGATCTTGCCCTTCTGACTGCCGCTGAAGCCTCTTGCATTCGTGGCTGATGACCGTCACTGATGCTCTTGTGGAAGGATGATCGGTAGGTGCAGAAGAAGCTTGGCGTGTCGCGTATAGAGAGCCGTTGGGAGACCCGAGGGAACGTCACTGATGCTCTTGTGGAAGGAGGGTCGGTAGGTGTAGAAGAAGCTTGGCGTGTCGCGTATAGACCCGAGGGTCAGTGTTGAAGGAGGGCGGTAGGTGTAGTAGAAGCTCGGTGTGTGGCATATATAGAGCCTTCAGGAGGCCTCAGGGGTATCAGAGAGGTGGGCGCTTGATGGTTCTGAGTTTGTGGAAGCATCTAACCTAAATATTCAGCCCTCTAATGCCCCCTTCAGGAGCCTTAAACCACCCATACATCCGAGCCTCTTTTGCTGAGGCGGATTGCCCCCTGCATGCCAAGTTTTTCCAAAATGCCAGGGTGGCATTTGTACATCTCTCCTGGCTTGCGCCGCCAGTCATTTAGGTATGTAGTTCAACAGACCACAATGATTTGGGTACGAGGGAGGTGAACCGATTTGATGCCGTGCCCTGGAGTGGCATCATCGCTCCTGGACACATGCCTAAACGTATCTGACGGCATTTTCAACCAGACCTGGATGAATCTGATTGCAACTGTCTTTTTTCTTTTCTTTTTTTTTGATAAAAGCACTGGTTGGCTCAGCTTGTGATGGTGTTACGAGCCCTCACAACTAGCAACCCATCCGTTGGCTCCGATCTATTGGTGGGAAGCAAAACCTGCTGGAAAGCAGGTCCGACGTCCCTTACTGTAAACCCTTCTGCTCCAAGTTTGTACGATACTACGATCTATTAACCAATTGTTTGTGGGAAGACAGTGGTGCTCTATCTGCCATTGCAGTGAGGCCATCTTTGCAGGTTTGGATCTTGTGACCGTGAACCATCGGAGAGGATGGATGCTGTCTCTTCCCACATTCATGTGGGACATCCACCGCTCCCACACAATTCCCTTAATGTTGACCTTTGGCCTCAGAAGCCGATATGCAGATTTCACTGGCAAACTAGATAATTTCTTGTTTGTTCCAGGCCCCGTTCTGCACGGCGAGTTCCATTGCCACTCGTCCCGCTGAAGGGGGAGCTTTGCGAGCAGGGTTTCAGGGCGGAATACTAGCCATTCCTCTTGTTCTCGGATTACCCGGATTCTGTACAGATCTACCTTCTTCCACCATCTCACGACGTCAGGGCGATACCTCTTGTTGAAGAGGTTCACCAGGGCTTCATCCGTGTGTACATCCACCACACTACCCGCACTCTCCGTGTCCCCCGGAGTTGCTACCCAATCCTGCTCTTGGAGCCGCGGTCCTCCACACAGAATACGTACCCAGTCCAAGGGAACAGAAAAAATCAATTGTTCCAAGTTCCTTTCAGTATTATGGCAGTGTTTCAAGGTGGATCTCAATTGCTGCTCCCTTTTCCATTTCTTTTCCTCCCCGTCCCATATATCCCGGACTCTTGCCTCGCCTCTCTTGACCCAGCAGTTCCATGGGGGACCGGAGCTGCAGTATACTCTCCCATTTTGATCACTGACACTCGTGTTGCCAAAATGCGGTTGTCGTGCTACCTCCTCCCATCTGTCCGGCACACCTTTGTCGGGCAGGGGGACCTGGCGTCACGCTTGAAGGGCCTTGACCCAGGAGTCATCTCTGGTTAGGTCCCTTCTGGTTGCACCTCGATCTGACTCCCCTTGGATTTTGGAATGACACGGTCTGGTCCAAAAGTGATCCTCTTGCCAAGTCAGGGGATCAGTCTCCAGAGGGGACTGACGGGTGAGGCGTGCCATCTGTTGGAGAGCCAGGGCTCTCCAAGGAAGGTGAAGGATGAACAGCAATATTTTAATCCATTGGATCGTCAGTGCTGTAGTCTGAATAACTGGGTCCAAAATTCCAAGGCCCCCTTTATCCTTAGGTTGAATGACTGCTAACCAAGCAACTTTGTTAATGATGTTAGGGAACCTTCTGTCTCCCCTCCATAGCAGCGCTGTTACCTGCCTCTTTGCTGAGGGCCCATATCGCAGACTTGTACCAGAGTGAGGCCAAAACAGCATTATTGATGGCCAACGCTCTGCCGACTAGCGATGTATGTTTGTCATTCCAGTGGGCGACCTTTTCCAGCGTAGGCTTCAAAATCCAATCATCATTTGATGCAGGCTTACCTAAAGCTGTCAACATGATTCCAAGCACTCTAATCGAGGCTGCTTCCGTCAGCCATTTAAGCCTTGGTACCTCGGGGGGACACACCCCTTGGTGGTGGATCCACTATCCAGGTGTCTTGCTCCCCCAATTAATTGTCAAATCTGACACTGATGTAAACCGGTCCATGAACTTCCTAATCTCTTCCTCTCAGGGGAAGCATCCACCATGACTGTCAAGTCATCTGCGAACATTGAGCAGACGGGGGTCGCTTTCTCTGGGATGAAGAAAACCTGGAGTTTCTTAATGTCTTTGTTGGTGCGGAGGTTTGCAGCCAGCGCTTCCATCACTATAATAAAGAGGAATGGGGCCAGCATGTCCCCCTTGGCAGATGGAACGCTGCAGGGAAATCTCCGGGCTAGCACCCCATTTACTTGGACCCTTGCGGTGGCATTCTGGTGTAAAATTGCAGTCCATCTCCGGAAATGCAGGCCAAATTTCATTTTCTCCTTGCATCTCTCTAAAAATAGCCAGTCTACCTGGTCATGGGCTTTTTCAAAGTCGATGAAGACCACATCCGCACTATATTTGTCCTGTCTTAGGCTGTCTTGTCAATCTCAAAAGTTAATTCACCAGGAGAATGTTATCCTGGATTCCATCCTTTTACGAGCCCTGTTTGCGTGGGGTGGATCAGGCTGTCCGAAACCGAAATCAGGCAGGGTTTGCCAGGGCTTTCGCAAGCATCTTGTACACTACCGTAAGCGAAGTTATTTGGCGGTAGTTCGTGATGTCCATCTTATCCCCTTTTGCGTGCAACAAAGTAAGGACACCCTGCGTCATCAACTCCCCCATACAACCTGTTACCCATACTTGATGGTAATACGCCATAAGGTCCGGGGCCATCTAACAGCAGAACGTTTCCCAAAACTCCTTTCGGAGTCCGTCAAGACCCGGAGCCTTTTCCTCGTCGATTTGCATCAACGCTGCCCAGGTCTCATCCTCGGGTAGCTGGCGATCCAATTGTGCTTTTTGCTGATCTGACAGACTTTTTGTGAGTGGCTTCAGGAAATCTGCAATCTCCTCCTCCCTAATAGCCTCATCCCGCTGAGAACATCTGGATGGCCTTGAAAAAGGACCTCGCTATCTGCACGCATTGGGGGGTGGAGGTTGCCACATTTTCACATCCTTGTTGTGGATCATACAGAGCCTCTATGGCCGTTCTGTTTGTGCGCGCACGGGCCAGATAAAAAGAACTTCTTGTCCATTGATCCCTCGGTTTGGTGACGTGCCAGTCTACCCCTAACGAGCGTGCGCTCCCATCGTTGTGTGGCAAAAAAATCTTGTTGTTGTTGTTGTGAAGACTGTGCATCTTACTGACCCTTAGACCGTGTGCGTGCTTCGTCCAGTGTTTTCTTGCTGTTCAAGTTTCTGAAGTTGTTGGAGTATTTCTATTTCTCTTTCGGATCTCCTGGCTGCTGATTGCGATGAGTACTCTCTGCATTTTTTGTCGAGGAGAAATAGTCCATTATTGAACCAGTCAATTTCCTGTTGAACATATTGTTTTTGTGTGTGCCAGAATTTCCAGCAGTCTTTTACATAGTTTTGAAACGATGCCAGAATTTCCAGCAGTCTTTTACATAGTTTTGAAACGATGCCAGAATTTCCAGCAGTCTTTTACATAGTTTTGAAATGATTTTTGCTGGAGAATGGATACATTCAGCTTGTAAAATCCAGGTCCTTGGTCGGGTTGAGAATGGATACATTCAGCTTGTAACATCCAGGTCCTTGGTCGGGTTTCTTACGGAACGTCAAAATGACCGTGCACATCTTATGGTCCAACCCCGGGTATGGTCTCCGTGGTAAAATGGTCGCTAAGAGCAGCGCACCCTGCAAATCCTCCGAAATGATGATCAGGTCAATCCTAGACCTTGATGAATCCTCTTGTCCCTGCCTTCCACAAGCATGAGTAAAAAGGTACTAAAAACGCGTGTCAGGGTGGAGATTCCGGAACGTGTCAAAGACCTTCAACGACAGGCATAGATCCCTGAGCATCTGCTCATCCTCCTCTATGTAGGGTGGGGCGGGGGAGGGTGTCCGCCATCTAACCATCCATCGGTCGGGGGCCGCATTGAAGTCGCCTGCTATAATGACCGGTATCCCGGCTGGGATCTGGGCTTTGATGTTCTCAAGGAAGGCTCTCCTCTCCCCCACTGCATTGGGGGCATATATACATATAATACAGACCACTTCTAGTTCTAGCATAGACAGAACCGATACCCATCTGCCCCCTTCCTGGTCAGCTGCCCAATGAATCGGGTCCTCCCGGGACTCCGGGGGGATCCCGATGGTAAACCTGCACTCCCAGGCCTCGGAGCATGCACTCTAAAGGCTTTATACGGCCAGAGCAGTTTATGAATTCTATTGTTTTCCGGTGAGTCCGTAAGGTGGGTCTCCTGGATACAGACTATGTCTGGCCAGGTCCCACCCCCTACCCCTCCGATGAGGTCACAGATTGCATGCTGTTTTTGGGGCTTGATCATGGCCAGCCCATATTTTAATTCAGGGACTGCAGGTCTAGATCTGCCGCCCTCCGACATTGGTCCCACGTATCTTACCTTTACCATAAACCGCTTTAACCGGGTCCATCTCGTCATCCCTGTTATGCCATGCTATGCCCCATTGTTGTTAAGTTCGTTATTCCGGTCGTGATTCTGTTGTCACACCTTCACAGGCACTCCCACGGTTGCTGTTCCGCAACTATGTCCACGTGCGTTGATCCGTTTTTATGCAGTGCACTAGATTTACCTTCTTAGCTCACATGCCCTTCTTCACTCAGGGCATACTCACACTTCGCACATGCCTAAACGTATCTGACCTCATTTTCAACCAGGACCTGGATGCATCTGACCGCAACTATGTCCAGAGCTCGCTCCAAAAAGTCCTAATGTGAATATGCCCTCACACTCTCTTCCCTTGGCCCATTGCTATGCTCCTGTGACACTACCCTCTTTCCAGTCAGCAGCTGTGGTGAACGGCTTTGTTCTGCTTTTGTAGTTGTGAGTTTGGATTTCACGGTGACCTTTTGCACTGTCTGTCTGCAGCGTTCGAGCTACTTTCTTCCCCCGAATACAACGTACTGTCATTATAGCTGTATTTGGGGCATCTTTCAGTCTAAATGCAGCTATAATGGCCGTACGATGTATTTGGGGGAAGAAGGTAGTGTCGCGTTTGGAGTTGGAGAAGTCGCACGCTTTGGCACGCTTGGGAAAAGCTGTGCCCTACTCTTTCTAGTCATCAGCTGTGGTGAATTGCGTCGTTCTGGTTATTATCTATTTGTGCGTTTGGGATTCATTCACTGTGACCTTTTGTACTGTCTGTCTACAGCTTTCAAGCTAGTGTCGCGTTTGGAGGGAATTATTCCTGCGTTGGAAACGTCGCACGCACTGGCACACTTGGAAAAGCTGTGCCCCACTTTGCCCGATGGTACAAAGGTCGTCGTCAACTTCAGTGGTCGTGGAGACAAGGATGTGCAGACAGTAATGAAAATCCTCGGCAGCGATCTCTCGTCGTAGGCAGAGCGAGAGCAGCAGGAGAGCATCCTTCAGAGCGTGACCAATGTGTTTGCAGCATGTAAGTTCGCTCCCTTTCGTTTTTCGCATTTGCCGTGGTCTTGTGCTGAGTGGGCTCTCCAAGCCAGCATCTCGAAGGGACACCATCGGCCGGGCCACATCATGTGAGAGAAAGAGAGAAAACAAAATGCCATTCTTTTTTTTTTTCAATGTGAGAGAAAGAGAGAAAACAAAATGCCATTCTTTTTTTTTTTCTTTTCAATCTGTCCTTTTGTCATTTTGGGGAAGCCTCTGGCCAGTCACATGCCTGACAAGGTGTGCAAGCGCACGTCGAGATCCCGGCGATACAGATACAGCAAGTGTTTCAAGTTCGACGCTCAGAATTTCTCTCCGTAGAAGTTCAAATTTCTTTCTCCCCTCGCTTCAAATCCTGTGGGCCTTTTTTTTTTTTTTTTTGCGCTCCAGTATTGGCTTGTGTTGACAGTCAAACCATCCATGATTCCATATCCTTTTGAAGGATGTCCCTTTTTTTTTTTTGTCATTTTTTTCCTTAAAGCTGTCTTCTCCTCATCGGGGGACAGCTCTATATTTTTCTCTCAATTTTTCCTCACATATAGACACCTTGTCCCATCTTTTTTGGGTCCACTCTAGCTTTTCGCCGTTTTCGGTTTTGCAAGTTGAATAATCCATTGCGTGTTGAAGGATGTCCCAGGCTGAGTAGACAGATAGTTGATGATTGCAATTGGAATGCAAGGGTGGCTTGGCGGTGTTAGCGAGGGGGGGTGGATCTGTGGTGGTCAGAAATAAATGGGGTGGGTCAGAAATGGGGGGGGGGGGGGGGGGGGGGGGGGGGCGGAAGGGAGCGAGAGTGAGCTGAGGATTGGTAGTGGAAGGCATGGGTCTCTGTGGAGAAGATGAGAGTTTAGAAAAGATCTAAACAAACTACGAAAGATAATCAGAACCGGGCACCAGACCTTCTGGTCGTCACCCTTTTTCGATAGCTCGATCATTGTATCAGGGGTCGAGATTAACAAAAGTGCTTTTTTTTTTTGTTTTGTTTTTGTTGTAAAAGGGCGATGGCCTTGAGGTATTATCATCGGACTAACCAGCCCAGGTAAATTCAATCTTGTGTCTAATCTGACATCGGGTGGCCTTTTCAGCCCAGGGTGGCCTTGTTGCCTTCAGGGACCCCCCAATGGGGGACACCAGCCAGGGGACAGCCGGTATCAGAGGGACCGAGCATCATCTGAGTGGCCAGTCGCTGTGCCTCCCCGATTACCCCTCCCCCTATGAACATCAGCAGAGACTGCTTTTTAATGCCAATTGGGGGGACCAACGGGCTATCTCTAGGTGGCGGGCCCCAAGCATGCCCAGGAAGGTACATGAGGCCAATGGGGATTGAACCCAAGACCTCCTGAATGCCACTTCCGTGCCTTACCAACTGAGCTAGGCCGCCGATTACTGTATTTTTTGGGGGGACATCTGGTGTTGCGAATTTGGGACTTGTGGATTGTGGCAAGCCATAGATCTGCATGAGAGGGCAGAATGAGTGTGGAACATGTGATAAGATGTGTCATCACTTAAAACGTGTCACAGAATGTCAGGAAAAGTTTCCGCAATTGGAAAGCGCTGAAGATGTGTCAGAGAGTGTCAGGGAAAGCTTTCTGAAATCGGAAATCGCAGTGCGCAGCGTGTGAAATCGAATGAGGGCCTTTGTTTTTCCCTAAAGCTCGCCGCACACGAAAACGAATGGCAGCCGCTTTCTTTTCGTGACGGGTGGAGGTGTGAACCCCGCCACCGGCACCCCCCCACACACACACGTGCACCCACCCACTCACCCACGAACACATGCACACACACACACACACACACACACACACACACACACAGGGCTTGTGATGATTTGTGAAGGGAATGCGAGAGAGAGTCTGGGGTCTTTTAAAACAACACACACACACACACACTTTCTCTGTGGTTGGATGCGTTTTGTTGGGTTTGTTTTTATACATGGCCTAATTCTTTGCTCTGCTTTGCAGCATGGGCTGTTTTGTTGATGAAGTGATGTTTGTGGGTGGCCACGAGGTTTTTGGGGGGTGGGTGTTTGGGGTTTTGTCCATAATACCTGTACGAGGAGGCTCAGAGCTAGCTTACAAGGGCGGACGTCCGGACCTCTCTGGATGTCCAACTTGTCCGGTCAGACAACTGGGGAGACGCCCTCCAGAGACAATATGTCCGACCCTCTTAAAAAAAAAAAAAAAAAAAAAATTGAATTTTTTTTCTGTGGGTTCTCCCTCACATGAGGTATATACCACAAAATTTTGGGGTCATTTGAGCCCATAGAAAAAAACGATAAAAATCACCAAAGATGTCTGTGTCAATTTCAGCCAAACTGGTCTATCTTATTGGGGTCAATTTCAATCACGCACCCCAACCCACCCACCCCCCAAAACCCCCTTTCCCCATGTTTTGCATTTTATTTTATTTTTGCTCTAAATGAGCTGTATTTTTTTTTATGGGGTCACCTCATGTAGCGCAGCCCCTCCCCATTTCTTCTTCTTTTTTTTTTCGCTTTTTATTTTGGAGAAAATGAGTTGTCCGGGATTCCAGGCAACTCGCTCACCGGACGTCCGACGGAGACGTCTCCGGTAAACGTCTCCGATCAGACATCTGGTAACCTAGGCTCAGAGAGTGTTTGCTGTGGGTGTCGTTCCCGCAGGCTGTTTTTTCGGAGCACATGGAAGAATGGGGTAGCTTCTAGGAAGAGTGTTTTAAGCAGTAGCGCTCCTGTTGTCGCGCCGAGATCTTGTGGAATTTGGCATATTAGTCATGGAGTGATAGAGATGGCGGTGGGGTGAGTATAGAGTGCCAGTGCTGCTTTGTGTGTGGGCTGACTTGGAGGGCTCTCAAAGTTTTTTCGGACTATGTGGGATCTGGTCGGTGCTTTCTTGGAGGATGGGGTGAATCCTTCTGGGTTAGGTATGTTGTCTTTTGTCTTTATCTTTATTGTGCGGGCCAACGTTGAGGGCTCTCCAGGTTTCTTGCTGGTGAAGTCCCCGGTTTTAGGTAAGTTGCTTCTTGCCCTCCACCCTTTTATGGACTAAATAAATATATGCATGTATGTATCTGTGCAAGTGTGCCGCTTCGGCGGCAGACGGGTGTGTGGGCACTTGGCGCTGAACCACACAAACGTGGCCAACCTTGCATTTTCTATTATATTAGCTATCTATACCTTTTTGTTATGGATGGATGTTTTGTCTGATTTGTGGAGGACATGAGAGAGAGAATTTGGGGTGTGTTAACAACACACACACTAACTGACCTCATGTGCCATTCTAGAGTAGTCTGTTCGAGCGGTGAATATTTAGAATTCTGCACAGCTCATCATACACCTCTCCCCTGCCCTTTGCATGCCATATACTCTATCCTGCCCGGCACATATTTCTCTCCTGCCCTTTGCACTCCACCTATGTGCTATTAGCAAATACATATGAATGAGCATCTCTAAGAGAACAGACAATATGAAGATCTGAAGGGAAATGAACAGGAGTATCAAGACGAAGGAATAACACAAAGACTTAGTATAAGCTGAAGATCTGAAGTGAAATGAACAGGAGTATGATGATCTGAAGTAAAATGCATAGGAGCATACCTTCCCCTCTACTCTGCCTCCTGTGATACGTGCAAGTGGGCCGTTAAGGCACACGGGGATGTGGGCAGCTGCCGCATAACCACAGTCAACGTGCGCAGCCTCGTACGTGCGAGGTATAGTAAAAAAGGAGCTGTTGCCCCAAAGAAACCCCAGCTAAACACAGTTCTATTATGATTCATGCTACTTGCTAAAGAGGTGAAATTCTTTAATTGTTGGACTGGCTCAACTTGAATCTACTTGTCTGGGTGGAATAGTGGCTGCTCTGATAGAAATTTAAAACGCACACACACACACACACACACACACACACACACACACACACACACACACACACACACACACACACACACACAC